AGGCGATTGAGGTCAAGAAGATCGAGTTCAAGAGGGCGATTGAACCAGGCTTCACCAGGGGCGTGGGATTACTCGTTGCGGCAGCCAGTCTGCTTGGGAGAGTGGAAGCTGCGAAGGAAGAAGTGACGGAGACGACAGGGGAGTGGTGGATCCCTTGTACTGATCACGGCAGCCATCGCCATCCTTGTGGACATCACCTTCCGAGTTGGAACCTCTGGAATTCAACAATGGTTCAAGCCTAAGGAGGAGATCATCGAGACACTAGTTCCGCCGGGCGAGAGTGTCCTCATCAAGACTGGGATGGCCATTGAGCTTCCGCCGGGAACCTATGGGAGGATCGCCCCGAGATCATCATTGGCCATCAGAGGCATCGAGACTGGTGCCGGGGTGGTGGACAGAGATTTTCGAGGAGAAGTCAAGGTTCTACTCAGGAACTGGTCGGATGAAGACCATCGAGTGTATAAGGGAGATCGAGTCGCTCAACTGGTTGTGGAGCGCATCCTGGAGGTTGGGGTTCACCACGTGGAGAACTTGAGTGAGACCACTTGGGGAAATCGAGGGTTTGGATACTCAGCCCATGAGGAGGCATATCCTTGGGCAGATCCTGATGATCCACTTTACCAACGACAGGAGCCGGGGACCCGGAACCCAGTGGAGAGGTTTTCGTTGAGGACGATGCATCAAGAACCTCAAGGACATTCTCGAGCTCCTCAAGTACCCGATCCGGACCTATGGCATCGTGGACACTATGACCCAGAGGCCGAGAGGAAGAGAAGGGCGAGTCTGGGACTGGGCATGTCAGCTTGGGACCGCATGATGGAGAGGCGAGGACCCAGAAAGAACTTCGGGGGACGTGGATCATGATGGACTCCGAGGGCACGCATGTGATCTTCAACGAGCACGGCGCCGATCGAAGACCTTCTCAAGCAGCATCATCTTCACCGGTAGAAGGGGTGAAGGAAGAGGCTACAACCTCGACATCGAGAAGGGCATCTGGTGGAGCGATTGAGGAGAATGAGAGAGAGAAAGAGATTGGCCAGAGCTCGACTGGGGAGACCTCGGCAGCGGCTGGACACTGAATGGTTGGACTCAGGAGCGAAGCCCTCAACTTCGTGTCGGAGGAGTCACCCTGCAAAAGTGGACGCTATGGAGAGAAGAAGTGTTGGACTTCCTGATGGACGAGCAGTTCCAGGCGGGATGCTTCACTCCAGCTCTGAGGCGAAAAATGGGAATTCCACCCAAGAGAACTTGGCTGACCATCGAGGACCTGCCGGGTGGAGTGAAAGTGGCAGTGCGAGAGCATGTCCAGCAGCGGAAGAAGATGTTCGATTTTGAGTCGGGGAGAAGGGGTGGTCACCATGGCGGATGACGATCGCCTGGGCCGCCCTTCCAGGGAAGAAGGAAAAATTCATCATCGTGGATGATGAAAGGAAGGGCAAGCGGAGCACCTACTTGCAGGAGACGTGGGTCGGCTACACCATGTTCCGCGCGCCATGAAGGGGCTTGAGCGGTGGCCAGGCACCCTCAAAAGTCACCGCGCGCGGCGAGGGGGGCACAAAATCAAGAAGTGTACCAAGTTTGTCAAGGCGTGAGACCTTATGAAGCCCTTTTTAGCCAAGAAAAGAACCGCTATCGGCGGTCGTGCGTATACAATGGGTTTTTGTGGTAGGTAGGGTGTGCGCAAATACGAGTGACTTTTGATAAGGTGCGAGGTTTATAAAATGGGTTGGTGTGGGAGGGCGTGCGCAAATACGATTGACTTTTAGAGGGTGAGGGGTTTGTAAAATGGGTTTGTCCAACGTGAGGGGTTTATAAAATGGGTTTGTCCAACCTCTGTGTTTTGTGACATTTTGTGTGCTTACATTTGGTCATGGCATGGTCTGTTAATAATACCAAATCATGGGGGATGTACAATAGGCATAGTGTAGTTCACAACCAGCCCTTATAAAGCAATAGAAAAGAGAGAAGTAACAAAAGTTTAGCCAACTCATAGTGATTGGGTTCTGAAAAAGATAGCTTAAACAGCAGTTTTCACCCTCTTCTCCCTCTTCACCCTCTTCTCCCTCTACAATGAAGACAAATGATATTTAGTATTTTTTCTCCCTCTTCTCCATCCACACTGAAAATAAAGCATAAATCATTCTAGTTCCTGGGATTTGGACTTGGGCAGCCCACCAACACAAAAACAAATTCACATTGTGACATTAAACTTATTTTTTGTTTAAAAATAGATTTACACAAACCATGGAGCAATGGAATGTGATATGTATCATATGCCACAATTGCAAAAGGTGTGCATTGTTCACTGCAGGCATGTGTTGTTTGTTTGTGTGAGTTTTTGTGTTGCTGATTGTTTTGGTGTATTGTTTTCCGTAATTCCGGAAAATGTTTGCGTTTTATGATAAGAGGACTGGAACAGTCATTTTGTACATCACCAAGACCACCATTTTCTAAGGAGTTCCTCGAGGGGTATCATTTTATAAGCAAGTGTGGGGATATAAAAAGCAACACCTTTCAGGTTTCGAGGTTTCCCGTCATTTAGACATTCTAAAAAACAACCCAAAAAATAGATATTCAGTTGTTTTAGGTAAAAAACAAAAGAACTAAACGAAAAAATACATATTTTTAAACCAGTGTTGTGGCCTTTAAGACAATAAAACACCTAAAGACACTATTATTCTTTTAGTTTTGCGGCCTGTACAAAAAGCTACGGATTTAGTTTTTGTAGTTTTGCGGCCTTAAAAAACACAAAACTTAAAAAACACACATACTAAATCCTTCAGGTTTCGAGGTTTCCAGGTATTTGGAAATTCTAAAAATATATAGAAAAGTAAATATTTAGTTTTTTAGCTTTGCGGCCTTTAACAGAAATGAACAAAAATAAACTAAATCCTTCAGGTTTCGAGGTTTCCAGGTAGAAATTATAAATAAACAAGAAAACTAAACATTTAGTTTTTTAGTGTTTGCTGCCTTAAAAAAACTAACAACTAAAAAGAAACTAAATCCTTCAGGTTTCGATGTTTCCAGGTATGTAGAAATTCAAAAAACATATAGAAAAACTAAATATTTTGTTTTTTAGTTTTTGCGGCCTTTAAAAGAAATGCAAAAACTAAAACTAAATCCTTCAGGTTTCGAGGTTTCCAGGTATTTAGACATTCTAAAAAGGCAAAACACAAAAACAACTAATATTTAGTTTTTGTTTTGTACTTTTTCGGCTTTTAAACATAAAAGCTAAATCCTTCAGATTTCGAGGTTTCTAGGTATTTAGAACTTCGAAACACTAAATATTTAGTGTTTTTAGTTTTTTTTTTTTTTTTTTTTATAGTTTCTAAATACCTGGAAACCTCGAAACCTGAAGGATTTAGTTTTTTTAAAGTATTTTTTAAAGGCTGCAAAACTAAAACAACTAAATATTTAGTCTTTTTAGTTTTTTTTTAAAAGCTTTTTTGTTTTTCTCAAAAGGCCGCAAAACTAAACAAACTACATATTATATTTAGTTTAGTTTTTTTAGTATTTTTTTGAATTTCTAAATACCTGGAAACCTCGAAACCTGAAGGATTTAGTTTTTTTTAGTTTGTTTTTTAAAGGCCACAAAACTAAAACACGAAATATTTAGTTCTTTTTGTTTTTTTTTTTAAGGGCGCAAAACTAAAAAAAAAATAAAATATATTTTTTTTTTTTTTTTTTTAAATTTCTACATACCTGGAAACCTCGAAACCTGAAGGATTTAGTTTCTTTTTAGTTGTCAGTTTTTTTAAAGGCAGCAAACACTAAAAAATTCAATATTTAGTTTTTTGGTTTATCTTTAATTTCTACCTGGAAACCTCGAAACCTGAAGGAATTAGTTTCTTCTTTTCAAGGCCGCCAAACTAAAGTATAAAACACACAAAATAATTAGTTTTCGTTGTTTGATGTACTTTGTTTTATAACTTCTCTTGGTTTACATTATTATTATTACAATATATTCGAAACAAGAGTACGTTATATTATACATGGAGGTCCCTCGTACATATATACATATATATATACATATGCAGCCCAAGGGCTCAGGTATGGTTGGATCATGTTGGATCTACTTTGTCATTGTGGCTGCTTTTCATGGCGTTAAGCTTTGCCCAAAGCTTCGTGCTCCATTCAGGCTTTCAAGTGCCAAAGTCATTTAGCGTTCATTCCATATCCAGTGTCCAGGAGTGCAAAACTACAAATTGGGAAGGTTCTCGTACAAACCATTTATTGATATATATATATTTCTGTATATAGATATACACATACATATATATCTAATGTCTCCTTCCAGGGTACAACATGGAGACAAAATTGGAGGCCTGATGACATGTTGCGCGGTTCCTTTGCGTGAGGTGCTTAAAAGGGTGTCAGTATGCTGCCCACAAAGTATAAAAACAGCTTTTGACAGGATGCGCGGACACTGACATTGTCCTTCAAAAAGCTGGTGAGGCATAGCATTTTTCCTTGCCCGGAATCATGATTGCACTGGAGAAAGGAAGGGAGCAGGGCCATTATGTGGCCAAATCTGAATTATGGGGATCAGATTTGACGCGCTGTCAAACATTTCGGGTGGTTCTCCATGCCAGCGCCACCTTGGCTGCATCAACAACCCGTGCCAATGCTCTTGTTGTGTGCCAGGAAGGGCATTTGCATTGGACACTGCTGAGACACATCCGCCCAAATTCGAACAGCTTTCAGGCAATGGCAAAGGTCTTATGTATCTTCACCTTGCTCCTTATACTTTAATTACGGAAGGGATTTGCAGCGTACGGTGTGCACACTTGCGCTTTTCACTTTAAGTCTCAGGAAGCGGATGGGGTTATTTAATGTGTCAGACAGTGCAGAAGTTGGTTGTCGTTAGATTAGCTTTGGTTTCTTATCATCATCAAGCAAGAAACTCCGCATATCTAACTTTCATTGACTGAACATGGTTGATGTGGAGTGGCTTCAAAGTAACGCAAAGCAGAAGATATGCCCAACAGAGTTGAGTTGAGGCTGTTTGGTCTTTCGGCACCCTCAGCACAGCAAGCAGGAACTTTGTGGAGGAAGAAGGGTTGCCGGCTGTGTTTCCACCTTGGGTTTCGAAGTGACATTCAAACGCGTGGACATATATGTGGGTATAGACTTGGCCGCTTGGACCAATTGACATGCTGACAACAATACCTGCCACGTGGCGAATTAAACTCCGCCAGATGCGTCTCAATGAGAGGCGGCTTCCAGAGAAACTCGTGTTCGGTTATCACGCGAAGGCCGGAGTGGGGTAACTTGTGCATGGATACTTGTTTGTAGCATGTGCGGCACCAGCATTTTATGGCACGTTCGTTACCTCGCGCTGGCGTTGAGGAGTCATTTTTCTAGAGTTTTCAAGGTGTAGATGCAACGCCACGGATGCTGGCAGATCTGGCCTGGGGCAGCTTGGACGTGAGGGTATCTTGCTGCTTGCTGATCTTCACAAGGAAAGGACATGTTTTGTTCTGCCCTTTTTGGCATAGAGCCATCATGTTCCCCATCGTGCCAGGAAGGCCACATTGATGTTTTTTTTTAACTTTCAGCCTCCGCAGACCACAAGCAAGGCTTAGCGTCCTTGGACTTGGCAGAGGTCGAGGTCTACTCTGTGGTTCAGTGGCAGCTTGCCAGGCGTTGGCACCGTTTTGGACATCGGGGGGGCGTTGTTGTTGTTGTTGTTGCTTTTTCTTTTCTATTTTTTTGCGCGGAGCTTGCCATGCCCTAGAGCAGGCTGGCGCAAGGCTTGGACATGAAGAAGCCCGCAAAGATTTTGAAGGACTTCATCAAGAAATCCTTGGTGGTTGTTTGGGCGACTTTGAGCGCAGAAGATTCTGAATTCACTCGAAATTGTTGCCTGCTGCATTTTCCATATCACTTTGTCAGCGGAGGTGAGCAGTTTCCAAAGGTGTCTCCACGAAGCTCGGCAAAGTAAGACTCTCTTCAAGGCTGACTTTTTTGAATCCCAGGATGGGCTCTACCAAGTGCTTGCGAAGAGATTCAATCGTTTTTGCCTGAGCGGATGTCTGGAAGTTTTAGCGCAATGACGTTCTGCTTATCAAATATGATCAAAATTGTCTCCGTAAATTTGTGAAATGCGACAGGGGCATTTTAAAGGCTTTTGCTTCTCACTGAACGAGGCCTGGCGAAGCTTGTGGTGTCGTCTGTGTCTTCGACCACCACGGCAATGCCCACACATGAGCATCAAATACAACCAGGTCAATTTGTGTAGAAGGGGAGGGGCGAAAGTTGGAGAGAAAGAGAGAGGGATGTGAACAGGATGCACAGGCACACGGTGCTGCATGGCCTTTATCAACTACACGGCTTCTTTGTTGCTTAAGATTTTGGACTGTGTGCGAACCAATTTCAGAATGGGTAACTTGCTGTCCGAGGCGATGAGTCGCCCTCCATTGTGCTCGATTTGCCAGACAGGTGGGGGCCGCATACATTTGGATCATGTGATTTCCACAGCTCGAAACGGCAATCTTTGAGTGGGGCAGGCTGGTAGTCCAGAAGCCACCTTCGTGGCAGGCACGGGTGCAGGGATCCTTGAGCTGGCTGAGTGCATGCATGAGTCCAGCAGTTGCAGACATTCAAGTTCTTTGTAAACCAGTTTGGCCTGCTCCATTCCTGCACTGCTGAAACTGGAACTGACTGAAAGATACTGCATAACTGCATAACTGTCATGGACAAACTGGGCGCTCTGGCTCTAGTGTCCCACATGGCGCACGGTTGCGAGTCCAAGAGAGGCTTGGTGAGGTCTTGACCTGAATGTTGTTTGTTTGCCGCTGTGCAGGTTGAGAGACTTCAAGCAAGACCATTCACCTATGCATCGGACAAGACATCTTTGCCGCTTTTAAGGCCATTTGAGGCTGAGTCAGCTGTTCCTGAGATGTGCTGATCAGCATGGCCACCAATGAGCAGGTGGCTGAGGCGGGGTGCTTTTGTGCATCCGTTGCGGCCTCCATTGGCATCCATTGGCGCATTGCATTTACGTAAAGCATCACATTGTGACCGGAGGCAAAAGTCAATCCACATCCTCAAGTGTAAGTAAAGGTAGACACTCCCCTCAACTGGCTCCAGAAGTGCAAGAAGCCTCAGGCCGTGCCAACCTCGCTAGGTGCTGCCCTTGGAGGGGAGAAATGCCAAGTTCCAAGGTTGCATGTTTTGCTTGGCTAGTTTACAGTAGATAGCGGCGTTGAAAGTAGAAAGGTTTGTGGAAACGATTTCAGCGTAGCCAGACAGAGAAAGTGCTCCAGTTCAAGCTTGAGGCGTGAGAACTTCAAGGAGCTTGCCGACAAAGAGAGCGGAAGGCAGTTCATAGTCGCATGGTCATCCCTGCTTTCCTGCTTTGTTTCTTTCCGTTTTCCTTGTCTTTCAAGTCTCGCCCCTTCCCCCTCTCTCTCTCTTATTTTTTTGCACGGTTCTTTTCTCGCTTCAGCGAATCCCACGGCATCAAGCCAACAGGGGAGTGGCAGCCAAGGGTCATTCACCTTGCAACTGCCTGGACCTCAGGTCCTCACCAACCTACGAGTCAGAGCTTAGCGAATGGCCACCCATTGCTTCCTGCGATTGTCAGCCCACTTAGTGGTCTTCCAGCAGCGCTGGCATTCAAGCCACTCTCCATGCTGCTGCAGCTGATGGCTCGGATGCAATCTGCCCTTGATGTCTAGGTCAGCCTTCGTCACCAAACCTGCAATGCACTCCGACTTCTGAAGAGCTGTCAGAGCCGCCTTGCCTGACCGTCTGGCAATCTTTTGCCAGCATCGATGGCACCCAAAGCTACTGTCCCGGAGGAACCACCAATGAGCAGGATCCGACAAGGATTGGTGAGCAGTGTCTTCCACGAGTTGCTTCATGGTGTCCTCCATCGTTTTGCCAGCACCAGGGCATCTCTTTGGCTCCTTCGCAGCAATCTCGCAGTGTGTGGCAAATCCCTTAATCCGCCTCTTGCAGATCTCACATTGCACGGCAGTCCTAAATAACTGCCACTTGTGATGCCCAGCAACCACCTCCGCATTGACCAAGCGGCGAAAGACATCAACTCGGCCAACAGTTTTCCTCAGAGGCAACTGGAACTTGGTATTGTAGTTGCTGGCTTGATGTCTCCGTTCATGAAATGGTCCTTGTCTTTCTGTCTCTACGGCCAGCGGCGTGGCCATAGATCTCACGAACCCGAGCATCAGTTTGCTTCACTTCCTCCAACAGTGCCGTGGGACAGGACCCAGCATGCATAGATCCAGGCTCGAGCTTCGGTGGCCTGTCCCATGGCCACAGAGGTGCAGACCCCATCAACATGCCATTGCTCATCCTGCCGATGCCCAATCACAAGAGCAACCGCAAAGCGTCAGACGAGGATCTCCACAAGTTGCATTGACAGCCACGACAATTCGCTGCCAGGCCGAACCAGAACGGGCCACCCTTGATCAAACATTCTCATGACTTCATGAGATTCCAGGCCCACCGTGGGATTGAAAGCCGGCTCTTCAATGAACCCACGTGTCCACAACATTTGGTCCTCGTTGGCCTCTAGGTCGTTGACCCATTCTTGTGGTAGAGGTGGTAAGCCGTCATGGTAGCTGCATTGCCAAATCAAGTGCTTCATGGTCACCGGCACATTACACAGGGGGCACATAGCACGTTGTCCTCTTCCATGCGTCCGCAGTGACCTCTGAGTCCAGGCATCAATGGCTGCCTTGTGAGCACCTGAACAGGTCTTGCCAAACTGATGATACAACTTCCAATCCAAGCGTCTCCTCATCAGATGGCAGTGTTCAGGTATGGCCAAGGAAAGTCCACGTTGAGGTTGAGGCTTGGAAGGAGATCCATGGGTTCCCTGACCCAGTCATTGAGCTCACTTGCATCCCACTTCAGCTCCATGAGGTAGGCTTGGAGCGCCGCCATGGGCCCAGCAATCACCATTCAGGGATATACAACCCGCTGCAGCCGTTTCCAGGAGAGCTGCCACGCAGAGTGCAGCTCACCAAGCTGCCCTTGTGGCCACTTTTGGATCAGCAAGTGCATGGCTTTAATCTGCTTCTACCCGTTTGCAAATTGCCAGTGAACGGCACCTCGAAATGCTCACAAACTGAAGTGTACGGCCAATGAGCCTTTGATCTTGATCCAAGGAGTCAGACACGGACATAACCCCGCCAGTGCGCTCTCCATCCCAATTCAACCAAACGGACTCAATACAGCACTCTTCACTCAAATTCTCATGTACCTCATCTCCAAACAAGGCTGATGGCCTTGACCCCAAATCAACTTGCCAGCAGCCTTGCCCATTTTTGCCTTTGGCTCCACAGATTGGCAAATGCCCACCGACAGGGTTACCCTGACCGTGGGAGCTCCGCGTGCCTCTGGCGGTGCTTGAGCAAATTCTCAGCCAAATCACGCTCCAGCTCTGCTTTCCGAGTGTCAGTGAACAAAATGCAAACCTGAGCCATTGCCTTGAAGACATGATGATTCGTGTCCTGATCAATCTCCGGCAGCTCAGCATCAGCGGCCTCCGAGGTTTCCTTCTTGGGGAGCTTTGCCTGGGCTTCTGATTGAGCCGTGAGCTGTTGCTGCTCCTTGTCAATGGAGTCTTGAACACCCTTGAGTTCATCGAGCAACAACTTGTAGTGCTCCTTGGCCGTGTCAACCTTTCCCTGAAGCCCAGCCTTCTTGTTGGACAACTGCCGTAGTTCCCCAACTGTGGCCTTCAACTTGGTGGTGACATCCTTTGGCTCCTCCTTCGCTGGGGCAATCAGAGTCTCAACGGCCTGCTTCACCTCCCCGGGCAGTGATTGCAAGTGTGCCTTGATGGGGGTTCTGGGATTCTGGGGAGTTCTTGTTCATCAATCACCTCGTTGAATTTTCTTGGCTCTTGAAAATTTGTGTTGAGCCTTTGTCGTTTTTCTGGGGTCTTGTTATGCGTGTTTTAGGGTCATAACTTTCCCTTCATTGTTTGGATTGAATGAAGGGGGTAATTGATAATTGCTGAGGTGGTCAGAGTTTCTATATGTAGGTTCAGGTTCAAATTCTACCAAGTTGTTCCCCAATAGCCATGCTATGGGGTCTTGCAAAACTGATAGGCGGACGGGCGCCGTCGGGTCACCGTCAGAGCTGGTGGGCGGACGGTGTCCCGGTCATGTTTTGATGGCGTCCGGGTCATGTGATGCTGGTGTCCCGGTCATGTTTTGATGGTGTCCCGATCATGTTATGATTGTGACCCAATCATGTTGTGATGGTGTCCCGGTCCTGTTTTGATGGTGTCCCGGTCGTGTTTTGATGGTGTCCCGGTCATGTTGTGATGGTGTCCCGGTCATGTT